AGTTCAAATTTTTAAAATTCTTCCCATAAGCAATTCAAAAGTTTGATGCATCTTACTAGCTATTATATTATATAACAATGATACTTGTGTGGAAACCATATTCAAGAATATCATAATTGATTACGAAAAATTGTACAATAAATACACAGACAAGATATTAAATTCTCTTTCTTCTTTATCAGTCATGCACGTATAAAGAAATTAAATTAAGCGCGGACATTTAAAGGTGCAAATTACTAACATTAGTTATTATTATTATTATAGTCATCATGTAATTAGATTACGAATCTAAACCGGCTCTTCATAATTATAATACAAGCCAAGTGGTTAGTACGAGCCGAACCACAAATTAATCAACTAAAACGATTGGCTTATAACCTCTTTCATATTACAAGTGCTTTTTTTTAACGTGCAGTACTTAATAAAGAATTTATGCAAACATACAAGTAAATTTTTTTTAAAAAAGATAATATGACGCATATAATTTTTGCAAAAATTATATTTGTACAAGCAAAAAAAAAAAATTTATTTGCAACTGTGCAAGTAAAAAAATTTTACTTGCGGTCATTTTAGGTTTGAATTTTAAATACTAATACTGCTTACGACTCTGCAGAACCGTTTTACATTCACTAATTTGAAATTAACTGGCTTATGACCTGTTTAATTGTGTTAGTAAACCAGTAGTTTGAATTTTAAATATGTGTACAATATATGTACATTCGGTTTTATTGCTATAATTAAAAAAAAAGTATGTTCGCACGAAATTTTTTCCTACCGTTAATTATGCTAAATAAAGATATATAATTTTTATCCATTTATAAATAAAAATTTCAAAATTTTTACAAATATAACGTTTAACCAAAGAAATTTAATCCGTTTTTGATTTATTTATTTATTATCAGAATGTGCATTTTTTTAATGAAATTTATTACTTAATTTGTGTATCAGAGTAATTTTTATTTAACACTATAAATCTTTTTAAAAAAATGTTTATAACATTTACGTGACTACACTAATGGCGTTCTCAAGCACCACCTCAATGAATTCAATAATAAAAATCTGATTGGCTAGTTTCCAATCAGATTCGTTATTGAGTCCATTGAGGTAGGTGCTTGAGAGCACCCTAAATCAAATAACCCTTATGTCCCTATGCTGGGTTCACATTTCCTCTTTTCAAAAATTTTTCAAAACTAGATTTCGACTTTTCTCAACGTAAAGCCTCTAGGTTTCATATAATAACTATAAAATGAAATAAATATTAAATTGGTTGGTATGTTCAGTAATTGTCAGGGGCTGGCTTAGAATTAATTTTAGAAAAAAAAGGACATGATAATTTACTTTTTGATTAATATGTAGATATTATAAACTCTCCAATATTTGATTTAGTTACAAGATGGAGCGCAATTTTTATGAAAATTGGTTTATAAATAGTTTTCCTAATCATTTTTAATTCAAAAATTTATATTTTTATAAAATTAAATAAAAGCTAAAGAATGTTTGGTACAGAAATTTAAAAAATAGGTTATGCTTTACTATCTCAGATTTATGAAATAGTTCAATTATTTTATCATTTAAAAATACCATAAAATAATTGATTTATTTTATAAACTGATCATAGTAAAGTATTAAATAATAAGCTAAAATTTATAAATGATATTTATCTCTGTAATAAAATGAGGTTAAATATTGTAAAAAAATATTAATTTCAAAGAACAAATTATTATAGTTACATCTTCTAAGTGTATGAAGTGTTTGTTGCATAAATAACATTTTATATAATTGAATTTAAATATAAATTTGAGAATTTGCACTCAATTTCTACGGTTTACTAATATATTCATACAGTTGATAGTATATAAATCTTAAGAGTGCTTTTGTTTAATCTGGTCTGGTTTGGTCTCATTAACTTCCAAAATCTGTTTTTTTTTGATTTCATTATCATCCTGTTCTATTTCATCTAACCAACGAGTGATAATTTTTATAATTTCCATTGTAGTAGGTCGTCTTTATCTATACATTTCATAGCTAATTTAATATAACAATCTGGTCCTAAACAGGTAGGTTTTGATCTATAAATAATTTTGATACAAGATTATCATTAAACGGAATTCCATCAAATGCTCTTTGCCCAGTCGAAATCTCTGTCGCTATAACTCCAAAACAGTAGATATTTGATGCTTGAGTATAGGTTTAGCCCGTCAAAATTTCAGGTGCTATATACGGCAGAATTTCCTTCCTTCCTTTATTTTTTTTAGAAAGTCCAAGATCTGTGATATTTGCATTATCCGAAATTTCTTGCAAAATGTTTCCGTTGTGTAAATCTCTATGAACGAGTTTTTGAGAATGAATTGACTCATGATCTAAAGCTATATAGTGCAAAATATTTAATTTACTTTACCATTCTAATTGTGATACTTCTACAAGATTTTGCCGTAACGAACCTTTTTGTATAATCTCCATAACAATAATATAATCACCGTAATTATTTATTGACACTCCCAAACAATTCAAAGAACGCTCGCAACCAATTTCACAGTAATTCTTCAATTCTTGGATAAATTCTTGCAAATGTTTGTTTGAACTACGAATAACTTTAAGTGCAACATCTTTCTGCATACCATTATTTGCATCAAATCGACGTGCATAATATACAGTTGCGAATCCTCCTTTTTCCCGGTTCTCGTCTAATTGTGAAGTTATTATAATCAATCCAAGATAATTTAAATCTCTCATCATTTAATATTCTCTTAAGTTCAGGATTAATATGATCTGGTGGTTATTTATTTTCAAATTACTTCTATATTTTTTTGAACCAATAATTTGCCTTCTGAATATCTCTCTTTGTAACGATACCTTTCGATAACATAGAGCAACATTTCTCATTGCTTCTTTAACACCCATATTAGCAGACTTTTCATAGTATCCAAATGCTTTATTATAATCTTGATCAATCCCAATACCAAGTTGATAACGAACACTAACATTACACATTGCACCAGCATTATCTAAATCAGCAGACTTCTTACAATATTCAAATAATTTCTGGTTATTTACTTCTACTCTAGTTCCATAATAATAACAAAGACCAACATCATTCAACGCAACCGAATTTCCTAACTCAACTGCTTTCTTATAATATTCAAAAGCCTCTTTTCGTCTTTCTTAACACCAATACCATGAAGATGATTGTAAGCAATTGTACGAAGTTGATTGAGTCCTTTTTTTTCAAAGGATGAAGGTACGTACGTACGTACAAGCTTTAGTTACCTGAAGCATAGTGGCGGTCATTAATGATTTAATCGAAGTGATACAAAGTTTATTTCAATAGTTACATTTTTGATTAGTTGACTTATATTGTCTATCTAAAACATAATTTTGAAAAATTTTCACATCTAACCGCACGCCACCGTTAATATTATACGATCAGTGTTGGAAATCATATGTGCTTGGCGCTACAGAAAAGGGGAAAATCGACAAATTTTCAAAAAAATTTTTTTTTTACACAACTCAATTAGAATAATGTTCGAATTATTTTTCACTTAAAGCATGAAAGAAGTTGTATTAATAAAATTTTGTAGTATAGCTCTTTAAAGTTTGTATTTTCTTATGATTTATTATAAAATTTATAACATAAAAATTGATCTTTTGTTTTGTCGATTTCCCCCTTTTCTGTAGCACCAAGCCCATATGTTCACGTGTTAACAGTGAACATAAATTTTTGAAAAAAATCAAAAGTTTTATGTTCACATGGTGTGAACATAAGAAATCAAAAATTTTATATTTTATGTTCACATAGTGTGAATATAAATTTTAAGATTTATAATTTCTTGTTTATAATTTATTATTAATAATATAAAGATCGCATTTATGCTAATACAAGTGTAATAGATTCTGCTCGCCCTTATCAAATACATGATTAAATATAGCATAACTAATATTAATAAAATATTTGTGATTTTAATGAACATTATAAAAAAAATTAATTTCACAAAAAACATTAATTTTTTTTTGAATTTCCAACACTGTACACGACTGATCCTTCACCCGGTGTGCAGCATATAAAAATTAATTTACAGTACCAGATCATTCCGTTAGTACGTACATGTTATGATTATAATCCAACACCATTTTCTTATAATAAAAATGATGTTGGATTATAATTGTGACATGTATTAGCGGTATTATAAATTATGTTGCACACTAGAGATGGGCAAAAATTAAATTATTCTTACATATTTTTATGTATTTTAGCATATTCTTACAAATTATAGTAAAATTAATATACCAATATAAAGACCAAGTTTAATATTAGTTTTTTTAAAAAAATAAATGAATTAAATTTTTGGCGGCAAATATCAGCCTCATACAATTAATAATTGTCGTGGTGACGACTAACACCCCTTGTGTTGATATTGCTAGGGTTAGGTACGATCACAGGTTACCCAATCATGACTGGGTAATGTCAATGGCATGATCTGAATTTAATTTATAGTCTATTTGTAAGTATATATTGCATAATTCGTGTAACCAGGTAATCAAGTACCCGGATTGATAATCTAATAAAAGCGTATCGATTCCAAAGGAATCAATAACGAGCTCAAGTTAATAATAAACGTTAGTTTGCTTAGTGAATACACATCTTAGTATACATAGTAGTATAGGTGGTAGTGCCTGGTACGATACACTAGTGCCAAAGCAAGTGCTTTGACTAAGTGAATCGAGCCCAAAGACCCCATAACTGCAAACATATATGACAGAAGGACCTGGGTAAATCAAGGCTCTACTTGCTGAATTTTGTTGGAATTGGACTTGTATGGTTCCATTTGTTGAACTCAAGGTTCCCAGCAGCAATTGTATATAATTAAAGTAACCAAAAGTAAAAGAACATTGTTAGTAGTCATAAACAAATAAAACAAAAAAATAACAAATAAAATAAAAAAAACACCAAATGTAACTCAAGTTGTGAAGTCGAAAGAGAATGGAAGAAAAAAATCAGTTGGTTACATTGGTTGAAAACATGATGAAGGTGGTGGCCGAAGTCGTGAAAAGCTTGAAGGTGTTGCAAACAAAATGAAGATGTTATCAACTGCACTTATGTTATGTATGTCGACACCTAGGATATTTGGCTCGATTATGTCCATTGCAAGTTCAACCTACAAATACAATGAAAGAAAAGAATCTAAAAGTACATCTGCGAACAAATCACTATAAAGAAATGAAAAGGATACAAATCCTAATAGTGAAATCTTAGAACAGAAGATCTTTAGGTGCATGGATGTAGATGGTGAAGGCTTAGCTGGACGTTGTTACCATCATGGAAATGGTATTGAAAAGGATGAACATAAGACATTCATTCATTGTCAAAGGTCTGCCGATATGAATAATAAGAATGAGGTGATCAAGGTGCATGAAAAGTATAGTGATAAAAAGATGATTAATGAAAATGGTAGAAGGAACATGATTGTTGGTTCAATAAATTTGGATGAAATACTTAGGGATAATAAAAAACTTAATAACATACCTGAAGTAAATGGTGGAATCATTTCGATCGAATATGTTGATAAAACGTCCTAAGATGAAGATGAACCAAAAGATAATTTTAAATAAAAATAGGAAGTGATAATGGTAATAACGGTGTAAGTGATGATGCGAAAACCAGTATTAATGCTAAAGCAGCAATGAAAATAATGATTACACCTATAACTGTGAATATTGAAATTACAACAAGAAAAGGAATAAATAATATGAAGTTAATCGGATATAATCATAAAGCTAAATCTGGGTGGAATTGACCGAAAGTGTAAAACTCTTGTAGTGATTTGAATTCTGAATAGATATTGAACTTGTTGGATCAAGTTAGAAAAAGAAAATTTTATGATTGTATATACTTGGATCATATAATCAGCTGAAATGGTGTGGAGCATGCAATATTTTGAAAATCGAATTGACATGTGTTTGAGTTGTGAATATTAGTGAAAAAAAAACTTTAGAGTTTGTGTATATAAATTATTAGTTAGTGATTTGTGTCATGCATCAATATTGTCGTAGAGAAATGGTGGGATTTTGCAAAGGTGAACTTCGAGACAAGGTTTATTGAGGATCTAGCTCCTGTCGTGGTGACTACCAACATCCCTTGTGTTGATATTGCTAGCATTAGATATGATCACAGGTTGCCTGATTGTGATTGGGTAACATCAATAGCATAATCATTGATGCATAAATTTAATTTATAGTCTATTTGTAAGTATATATTGCATAATGCATATAACTGGGTAATCAAGTACCTGGATTGATAATTTAATAAAAGCATATCGAGTTCAAGTTAATAATAAATATTAGTTTACTTAATGAATATACATCTTAGTATACACAGTAGTATAGGTGGTAGTGTCTAGTACAATACACCAGTGCCAAAGCGAGTGCTCTGACTAAGTGAATTGAGCCCAAAGACCCCATAACTGCAAACATATATGACAATAATTAATTAAGTTTTTGGCAGCAAATTTCAATTTATCAAATACAATTAATAATTAATTTAATATTTAAACATTATTGAGCTTTTTTAAAAATAATTAATTTTCTAAAGTTTTTTCTTGAATACTATAAGTTGCTTAAACAAAAGATTCAATTATGGCTTCATTATATACAATTTGATTATTAGTATTAAAGCAGGGTTGGCAAATGACTTTTAAATAACATAAATGACATTGTGACATATGTCATATGTCATCTTGTCATTTAAGAGTAAATGACAAGATATATAGGGTGAAATTATAAATTCTGGCTGAACCTTGAAATAACACCCATGGTCATTATTTTGCAGTAATATAGTAATAATCTATTTAGGTTGATCTTTAGTATAACTGGGTAATATAGAATTATTATAAGATTATAATATAAATAAATAACTACATAACCTAATTTAAGCAAATTTGGAACTAGTTAGAGGTTTATAGTTTATACGTATTAAAGTTAGATTAAAGTTAGAGTTAGAGTTTTTTTATATTATAATTTTATATTATTTCTCAGCTATACTAAGAAGATCCGAGATAAGAGATAATAGTAAATTTAATTATCAATAACAATTTTTTGCTTATAAACTATTTAATCAATCTAAGAATTTGATAAATTTGTCAAAAATTTAAAATATAAATATTTTTTAACTGAAAATGTATTAAAATAATTTATTAACAATATCATTTAAATATGTCATTTGATGTCATTTAATGTTATTTGATATCATTTTGATGTCATTTAATTGTCTGTCATTTAGTTTAATATTAAAAAATTAGATAACAAATGACATATATCATTTGTCACTAATTTGTCAATTGTCATCAAAAAATCAAATGACATTGTCATTTGCCAACTATGTATTAAAGTTATCAATGTTTTCAATCATTTGTGTTATATTTCTTGAATTGTTCTTCCAAATTATCGTCAACATTCAGTATAGTATTTTCAAGACTTCCTTCATTAGAATTAGCTATATAACCTGAATAATTTGATCAATTCTATTTTCTTTATTATAGCTTATCCAAACTTTATAATAAAATTTATAAATGTCTTAGAGTTTTCAGTTCAGATAAGAGAGAGTTTGGTTTAGAGAGATTTAGTTAAAAGAGAGTTGACTATATATAATAAATAGTGTCTATTTAAACGAAATATGATAATATTTTTATTTAATTGGTTAACTTTTTTTACTCAAATAATTAAATCTTTATTTAGTTATACAACCTACTCATAGTTAACCTAGATAACCCAGAAACAGGTCTAATTCTTAAAATATTTTAGCTATATATTATAATTACTAGAATAGTAAGTTTGTAACATAATTTGCAGTAATCCTAATATTTTCAAAATATATAACTAGAAAAATAAAATCTATTTGAAGTCTAAAGGACTAAATATAAACTGATTTTTTATATTATATCATATCTAGCCAATAAGCATTGACTACCTATTGTTTTAATTGTTTCTTTTTCATATTACATCTAATCTAGACAATCAAAATTCAGAATTTGTTAACACACAGACATCGGATGTACTATTGCTCTACCTGTATTGTCCTTCAGACAATAAATAGTAGAAATAAAACTTGTTTTTTTTTAAATAATAAACTATACACATAGCAGTAGAGTAGCAAAAGAAAATAATCAAGTTTACAATTTTTCTTTGGGTTAGTTTTAGTGATACAAGCTAGCCCTGGCCTAATGGCCAGGCTGATGAGTGGATCAACCCTTAGCTTGCACCCTTGTGGGCTGGGCCAGTTGATAAAAGAAGTGCTTGAATCAATTTTTTTATATTGGCTAAAAAATTAGCAAAAATTAGTTAATCTTTAATAAAAATATAGATATTTATTAGTTGGCTAATTTAGATAATAAATTAACAAACAACTAATATAGAAAATAAAAATGTTTACATGTTAGGTGCAAAGACAATTAATCAATATAAAATACTAATATATAGGAGAAGTCAATAGAAAAGGAACAAATTTTTCTAAGTAAAAGTTTTCTTGATTTTAGGCTTAAATATTTTGACAATTATCTTATCAAATTCAATAAAATTTTTTTTATTTTAATTCTATATAATTTCAAGATTAAAATAAAAAATTTTTGCAAATTTGATTAATTAGTTGTTGAGATATTTTGATTTAAAAATTAAAAAAATTTTACTAAAAATGATTTGTCCCTTTTCTATTGACACCCTCATATTATAATTAAAAACAAAAAGAATAAAAACCAAATGATTTTAGTATGCTAGCATTTGGCAAAGAACTACTTGATGGCTTTTTATATATTTAATATAAATGTTGAGGCTAATTCTTATTAAAAAAATTTACATTAGCAAAAATGTTTAGCCCATTCAACTGGGCTAAGATTTTTTAGAATCAACCCTGACTCAAGATTTTTTTATCCCCATATTACTAGTTAGTTCACCTTACAAAAATGAGTTATCAACTCTTTTTAAGTCTTTAAGCATGTGATTTACTATATATTTTTAAAAATAAGTTATCCTTTTTTGCACAATTTTGAATATAAAAAATCTAAAGTAGCTTATTTTTGGTTATAAATTTTTTATTCAAAAAAAGGGTAGCATATTTTAGAAGTAGTATATTTTTAGAAATATATAGTATTATCTACCTTTTTTATTACAGGTAATAGTAAAGCTAATATAATGAGTCTGGCCTATAGCTCTTGTAGTGTATTTTTTTTGTAGCAAAAGTAATATTTGTACTCTTTGGGGTAGAGTTCTATAGTTTTTTTTACAATTTGATTATCAATAATTTTAATATTGCTCAAAATACAAATTAACAAAGAAATTTACTTTGCCAAAAATAAGCAAAAATAATTTACATATTAGCAGAATTAATAATAACTAAATTTATCTAGTAAAAAGTATAAATTACACAAGATAATATGATTTAACAATTATTTTTTGCTGTATTATTTATAATTGCAAGTGTATACACTAAATCAACTACTAGAAACACAAGACAATTTCAATGCAATATAATTTAACTTTAACTAATACTATTGTTGTACTCAAAAAATTTTTTTATATTAAAAGGTAAGGCCTTGCTTATATCTTTATTGATTAATTTATATAAGTGATCATAAAGAAACAAAACTAAATGAAGACTCAATTCATATATAAATGAATAAATATAAACTCTATGCAAAAATAAATTTCAGATTAATTATTTATCTGTGACCTAAACCTACTAGAGTGGTCAAGACTCATCTAGATTTGAATATTTAATATATGATTGATAGGAATGCTAAAATGGATCTACAAAATAGACCAGATATTAAATTTACATTTAGCTAGCCCTACTAAGGGGCAAGAAAAAGAATCAAAATGTAGTTGGTAAGGTAAGTTGCATAGACAGTTATATATAAAAGTGTTATGAGTTCTAGTATGAGTTGTACTCAAAATTTACTTCTTGAAAAATTTAAAAAATTTAATAAATATAGTGTTGTTTATATACTTATAGTGATTCAACTAATTAATATCAATATTAGTTATTTAAAAAAGTTAAAATACAAGTAATTGTTAAAATTAAATTTAGTAAGTCTTGTGTTAATTATATAAACAAAACTGTAACTATATATAAAATTTATTTAACTAGTTATATATAAATATACAAATAAATTGATACTTTATTAATTATAAAGTTAATATTACAAAAGAGAAATAAATTCTAATCTATCTATTAAAGAAGCCAAAATCTACACTTCTAGTAAGATACAAGAGTAGGCTTTATATAAAAACAAATAAAAAGCATCGTGTTAAAGCAGGGAGTTATGAAATAGGAAAAAGATTAAATAATAGTAAAAAAGAAATCAGAATAAAAAAATTTTTATCAATTTAAGATAGGTGGTATCAAGGTATCATCGTTCAAAGTTTAAAAAAAGCTTGGATAATTATCAAAAGTTGTGTCAAAGATTTTTCCAAACTTTGAATGAAAATATCCTATCTAAATTAATAAAAAAACTTTTATTCGGATTCTATATGCCTGTATAATTAAAATAAAAAAATTTTCATCAATTTTAGATAGGTGGTTGTTGAGTTATCTTTGCTCAAAGTTTAGAAAAACTTAGATAACTATCAAAAGTTGCAGCAAAGGTTTTTCCAAACTTTGAGCGAAGATATCTTGACATTACCTATCTAAAATTGCATTTTTTTTATTCTGATTCTACATGTCTGTATAATTAAAATAAAAAAATTTTATCAATTTTAGATAGTGGTTGTCAAAATAAAATTTGCGATAAAGTTTTTTTTTCAAATT